TTAATCAACATAATTTGAGCCAAGCACGTGCTTTTCATTAAGATCTATTCACAAGCTTCGTAAGTTTTAGATATTCACTTCTTCTGAGAAGTAACAAAAAAAAATTATTTCTTCCCCAAAATGCAGTTTTGATAGCACACAGAGATCAACCATGGAATTTCTCATTTTGCAGTTTTGCAAGAGTGAAGGGTTGAGCTAGAACCTGCTCTCTCAATTGATTTTCACACTGTACAGCTGATCACAGTGGCTATGCCACACCTGGCAGCATGGTACCATCAGAATAACTGGGATGCAGATACCACCATCACCAGGCCCTGCTTCCTTTTTTGAGAAGTTTAAACAAAGCCAATACAAGCTGTTCTTCATCTTCACGTCTCATGAAAACATTAGGAAACCACATGTGCAGCTTGTGAATTTTTACTACAGACAAATATCGTATCATGAGAAAGTCTTCAAAATGTGGGATTTATGTGACCAGACGCAAACCTTTATGGTGTAGACACCTCCCTATTCTCTTTATAGCTAATGGACAGAAGCAGGCAGACAGCAATTCATTTCCTCCCAAAGTACATGTCCTGTCAAATGAATCACAACTCAAATCATGCCCATCTCTCTCTTCTGGTGGTAAGTGGAACACGCTCTCACAAAAACTAGCTTTGGAAAGAATTCACGGGCCAGTTACTCAAGCCTGGCCTCCTGGAGGAGGTGGCAAACCAGACTGCTTGGTAGGAGAAAAAGGATACCTGACAAAAAGAGACTAGAGATTCTTTTAAAAGAAATAAACACTATCACCAGTCTTTTGAGCTAGATATCAAAAGTAAGCAGCAGTAGAAAAAGTGTACCTGTCAAAAAAAAAAAAGTAGAGTTCATGTGAGAGGAAATAGAAAGGATTCAGGACTACATGGAGGACTTTGCCTCAGTTCCCCAAGAGCTTTCCTAGCTAGGAAGGAAACAGGTAAAAATAGCACCTAGGTATGGTCACATACTATAACTTCTAACTTTTGCTGAAACTAGACAATGCAATATATACTCCTTGATAGGGTATGTAAAATCCACTGAAATATAATCAGCAGCAGGCCTGGTGCTGAGGACTGGAAAAAAAAAAACATTTCTTTTAGGACAAAACAAAAAGAAAGGAGGATGTCTTAGCTCAGAGGCAGGGCTAGACAGGAGCTATACCCAACAGCATGCCTAGAAACTGCAAGAGACAGTGCCTGGACTCTCACCTTCCCAAGAGCAGGCAAAGCGCACGGCTCCAGTAATCGGGTTTCAAACCAGCACTGGCGAGCATCCAGCAAGGGGAGCTTTATGAAAGCTGACATCTTCGTTTCTTGTCAGCTTTATGATAGACAGTCAGACACTTTCAGAAGAAGGAACACAGTTCAGATTAGACAGGGTTAGACAGGGCTCCAGTTGGTCAAGTTCATGACCAGCTGGTATAACAGTGAGTGTTTTTTCTGGAGCGTGCTTCATACTACAAAGTGCAAAGGAAATGTGAAAAAACACGCATGAACAAAGCAATCAGGATGACTGGCACACATTTTCTTCTTTCTATTTAACAAAGACTTAATGTTAGGTAGTAGAAGAGTTCTCTTCTAATGGACTGTGCCAGAATGTAACCAGAACTTCCTAATATGCCTCCTGGTTGTTTTTCACTAAAAGCACAGAAGACAGACTTTCAGAAAGCAGCCTTTAGTTTAAATATGCTTTACAAAATCAAGAAACAGCACATTTAAATTTTAAGAGAGCTTATAAAATAAAGACTTCTGGATAAGCAACCTAGAGTTAACTTTTTCTACCACTTTCTTCACTATAGAATATAGAGCTAATGCTTCATGCAGGCAACAGTGACACCTACTGTTAACACTATCAAATGGATTAAACTTTTACAACAGGTAAAACAAACGTGTTTTCCCAAAGACTTTTGAAAGCATATTGAATGCTTCCTTTTCAAGGGTTTCCTTTGTAGCACATCTATTGCTGTTACTGCAGAAGCAAAGTTATCAGCTGTCTTGTAAAGTGCCTTTTAAATACAAATTCCTCAAAACCAACCTACAGCTGGTTTAAAACCTGTGTTTAAACAGTTTAAAAAGTGAGTTTAAAAAGTTGAGACAGTGTTTAAAACCTCTATTATATTTGCCCACAGCTAACATTCTTGAGCTATTATAATTAAAGCAGATCTGAAAAAGGCCTTCTTGTTTACCTCCATACTAGCATTTCCTGGTTTTCACCACCGGAGACACCTAAGTAACCACCCAAAAGTACAGTTACCATAACTTTCTTATATCATACATGTGTCGGAGTAACTGGGTCCTGACTATGCAGTGCCTCTTTTCTGGATTACAAGGGAGAATTATGTAAAAAGGTAAATTCAATTCAGTGGTTCAACATTTAAAAAAAAAAAAAAAAAACCACAAAACAAACCACCAAACCCAAACCCCCCCCCACACACACACTTAGGAGTGTAGCTGTTTTGTTTCAACTACAGCACCATTCAACCAAGTTTTAGCAAGTTGCTTTTTTTCCATTGTTCTAATTTATTTAAATAAATTTTATTTTTTGCTGAGGAGAGCAGAGTAGGGGCTTTCCACAGAAGCTCTCCAACAGAGAAGCTCCATGATTTCGACATTTGCAAGGCAAGTCCATGGGTAGCTCCACAGCACAGTTCACAGCACTCAAGCGCCCTCGTGGCAGAAACCTAGAGACCACCGAGGAACGTACACCAAGGCCCACCTCCTTGCTTTACCTCCAGCGGTAAATCGGCACTACCTAGCTATCTAGCTCCTTTGCACGTTCCAGACCAGAAGGGGTTTTTTTTTAATATTTGGAAAGGCTCCTTCCACACATGCTAAATAAGTTACAATAGCTACACAATATTCTCAAAAACCTTACCTAAGCAAAGAGAAGACATCGTAAGAGTTACGAACACAGTTCTGATCCACCTGGAGAAGACTATTCTTCAGGGTACCTGAGTGATCCTTAAGGCAAAGAAAGAATGTTAGTTTAAGAATCAAAAATTTTTCCATCTTGCCTAAAAGCATGCACTTTTGGTAGGAGAACAAATGATCTTGCATTTAATGCATTTTAAATCTGTCTTCACGCAGTTTTATGTACGGTAGGTAGAAATAATTTAAGGTGGCAGTAACACCAAGTTCAAGTCTGGCCTACAACAGCACTTACCCATAAAGATGTTAATGGCCTATCCCTTTATCTGTGTTCTAGACATGGGATGTGTTTTCTTGAACTTTATAATCCATTACTGCACAAATTTTATGCACAGAAATACTGAAAGATGCAATTTACAGTACTGCCAGTCTTCAGCTTCTTATCTGAGAGCCTGCTCAGTAATGTCCCAGAGATGTACAAGACCACGAGACAAAATCTATTCTTAGCCATGCTGTCATACATTTAAAGATCAAAGCAATCTTACTTTTGAATGATGTGAACAAGTTTCTGAAAGTTACAAAAAGAAATTTATGTCATTCTTAAGAGACCAAAGCGTACATTAACGGACGAACAGCAATTCTTCACGCTGCAAAGTTCAGATACCAAGCTTTTCCATATCAGGCATACTCACACAAATTCCTAGAAATGCCACAAACCCAGAACTGTTTCTCCACATGATAAAGTGAATTCTAAGTAGGTCAAACCACCTGGCAGCATTGGCAGAAAGTTTATGAAAGTTTTTAGAAAAAAAGGCATTTGTTCTAGCGTACGAAGTAGCCCCAGCCAGTAGACGTGATCAGCTAATTTTCCAACAGTGATACAGATGTACTCCGAGTACCACAATCCCTGCCTACGTGTTCTTTCCTGCCTCAACAGACTATTTCCATACAGAAGATGATGAAATGCACAGTTACATGTCAACATCTACCGACACAACTGTTAGCCACAGGCCATGCAGCACATTCCTTTCCACCAAAAAAAAGGTTCCACCTAAATAATCGTGAGATCTATACACTACACTATGCATCATATTACAACAGAGGCACCATATCAGCAGCTGTCTCGCTCCTTATTTCCATTCTCACGATGCTGGATCCTACATGCTGAAATCCATACATATATCCCCTGAAAAAATACCAAAATAAAAAGATCTTAATGCCTAAATGAACTAGGATGGTGGAAAACTGAAAAAATGCACAACTACCAGCATCACCATTTTACACCATTAAGTTGATCTCGTTTCAAGAAACACTGCCTTCAGAAAACAAAGTGCAAAATTTTTCAGAGAACAAGTGGAGTGGCCTAGAATAACTAGTTTCAGGAGGGAAAGGATTTGGAGCAGCAACATATTTTAGCTTTTTCTTTTTCCCCTGTACTACAGCGCACTGAAAGGAAACTCCCAAAGAGTCAAACACCAAGTGGTCTATACAAACTGTTCTACCCTGAGGAAAGCTGCAGAAGGTGCAATGGAAGGGTTTCAGACTTTTAATTATTAAAGTTTGCCCTTTGAAAGCGGAGTTTGTCTAATTCCCTGCCACAGCATTTATTAGATACAGCCTCATGTATTTGTAAACACACAGACAGCCTTTGCTTGTATGAAATGGCCAGGATCTAGCTGCTTAAAAAAAAAAAAAGCATATGCGTGGACTCTACCTGCATTGATGGAGACCATGTACAGTAGAGAGAGAGATGCAGCTTTCCAAAGATAAGGGTCTGTCCTGCTTGACAGTTGAAAAAGTAGCTACAGTTCAGTATCCCTGAAGAATATAACTTATTCTCCTGTTGCCCTGTACCCCTGGCAACAACCAAATGTTTTGAGTTACGGAGAGCTGTATAGGCTACTTCTGGTTTTATTTCTTTAAAGAGACAACAGAAAGCTAGCCCTTAACTAAAAGCTATACTTGCTTCCCTAAATGCACTTTCTGAAAAGATATCACCACAAGAGGAAGGGCAAGTCTTATCGGTTAGCAGCAGCAAGCATAAAATGGTTGAAAGAAAATCTGAAAGCCAGGAAGGCATTGAGGAAACCAGAGGAGACGACACCTAGTTTTAGGAAAGCAAGTATAGCACCAAGAACTGATTTTGTTGAACCTGGGTAAAAAGGGGTTTTACACACAAGCATGCAGTCTCAGAGAAAACCAAGCAGATTCCAAAAACTGCTAAATGACAGGGCATACTTTAAGTCCAGGTGGACAGCTTCAAAGAAAAAAAAAAAATCTCTGAAGCTCACATCTACCTTATTCAAACATTGGTCCAGTTCAAGCAAATCCAAATAGAGTTTCACTGTGTGATTACTAAAGAGAATGAAACTGTGAGAGGAACAAGTGCTTCAGTGGTCCCATGCCAGAAAGGAAACAGAAAAATAAATTGGACAGGGTTGTGACAAAAGAAGCAGAATCCTGCCGAAATCTTCTAGCAAAATTGCTGCATAATTTACTACAAAATACTAATAAAAAAACCCTTGAACAAAACCAGAAGTTGGAGGTACAATTATGTGAAAGTCAAATGTAGTTAACAACCAAGCAGCTATATTGGCAGCAGACACTTGTATTTACACTGAGGAGAAAAGCTTAAACACTAGAAGAGGAGTTACATGAGCACTGTCAGACACCTACAGTAAAGCAGTAATAGCCTTCAGGGCTCAGAAGGCACGCATAGAGGCTTTCAAAACATTCTTTCCCAACTTTTTTCTTGCCATGAGCTAAGTATCCATTGCAGCAAGAAAACTGCAACTTGAATAAGAACATTACCCAGAGAAAACGTTCATTTTTTCATTGCATATCAGCAACAGCCAAGTTGCTGCTGCACAGAAGAGATGGAAGAAAGGTAAAATTCATAATACCTATATATTGTCAAGGATACAGAATTTAATGGCTTTTTGGCATCAGTGGAAAACAAGTGAAGAGTCGGTGATATTAACAACAACAAAGAGGCCCTGGATATGGTCTTTTATTCTAAGTGCCATACTGTAATTGCCTTGCTTACCTAGAATTTCTCCACCAGTATTGCTGCTAGAGTTTTTGACTTCACTGCTTTATGCAACAGGAGCTTCCTACAAAGCAAGCATTTTGAGCACAAACCTGCATTTTGAAGGTTACCTTATATGCAAGTGGGCGTGAAGGTTCCCAAACAGCAGCTAAAGTGCATTACCTAGTGAAGCTGTAAGCTTCCAGTGCTTCGATTTTAAATTAAACAATTTAGCAATTAGAATATTTCTATTTGAGCACGTTGCTCTTGCTGGTTTTGTTTATCAGTGAAATATGCATTTAATCAATAAGTCTACAATTTTCGTCAATAAAAACAATAGTTGTGACAGTCCCTAATGCTCCTGCCCTACTTCAGGTTATTCTGCTACAATAGCTTTTAGGCTCCCACCTCTCTTATCACAGGTAAGTTCACAGGACAGAAAATGGGAATTTGCATTTAGTTCCAGATGGATCAAGCAATGCTCAGAAGTACATCTACAGTGTGTTTTGAAAGCCTGAGTTCATGAAATATCACCAGAATAGTTTAGTCAGCTTCCAACAGTTTTCTTATTTTGGCTCATATGTGGTCTTAATTAATGGCAAAGACATTTAATACACTAATAAAATGCACTTTATTGTAAGACTCCATAAATCTACTTTGGCAATTAATTCATAGTCCAAAGAATTATTAAAGTAACAAGGGTTTTTTTGAGCAATGGCGGGGGGGAAAATACCTTAGTTTTGTCCATTCTGAGATGTGCAAAAATAGAGGACACTTCCAACATTGACTGAAGTGTCTTTGTGCACAGCATTTTCATTAGACTTGCAAAATTATACTTGTAAGCATCTATTTTCATAATGAGGTTTCATATGCGTCAATGCCAAGAAACGAAAACTGCTATTCCATCCATGTATTATCTCAAAAATTGAGGCTCACGACTAAGGTGTCTTGAAGTATTATGAAGACCCATCACCACCACCACCACCAAGAAAAAAGCACCCCAAGAGATCAGAAAATACCCACAGGACCAAGCAGAAAAGGTATCATACTGCAGTTCCCACAGGATCAGAGCCACACACCTGACACCAAAAATCCCTTCCTACAGAAGATTTCAGGTGGTGCTTCACAAAAAATATTTCATATAACCATCAAAGTGGGGCTGTATAATGTCTAGAATGCCCAGCACTGACAGGAAAATTATAAAGCAAGACCAACTAGGAGCAGAAATACCAATTAGGTGTGCACAGCTTCTGAAGGCTACAGGAAGAGTTTGCCTGTGCCAACTAGTTTGCCTTGAATGGCAGACAAGTCACTTAAATACAGGAGGTATGTACTCTACAAGAAGAGATTTAGGTCAAGGAACTGCCAAAGAAAGCAATCGGAAGCTACAGAGCAGGGTGACAAAATACATTTCTAGTTCTTGCAGCCAGAAAGCACTAAATAAACTATAGGGAAGGACAAAGAAGGGGATTATTTGTGCTCTACACAGGCTACCGTTTGTATTTGCAACTTAGTGACAAAGCATGTACAAGAACCAAACGGAGATGTACTTTTAAAGTTCATGAGCTAGGAAGCAAGTCCTGACAACAATCAGGAAAGAGGATAGCGTTACCATCATTGAATTCAAACCCAGATTATTAATACTGACATCATGAAAAACAAGAATCGCATCCTGCTTCAGGAAAACCGAGTTAACAGCGCCGAGATGGAGAATCTGAGCTGTGTACCAAACCATCTACAATTTGAAGGGTAACCATCAAAATGCCAAACACAGTTTGGAGGCTTGCATGCGGCCAGAGAGTTTTGCACACAGGGCCACCTCGCCCCTAGCTCCGCTCTCCCCACATACGAACGGTTACCCGCGTTGTTGACTATAACGCCATTGCCTCCATTCAAATCCACACAAGACTGGATTTGCTGGTTGTGGCTGATGCAGAAACCGTAGCTATGTGTCAAGAGTCATTTTCTCAGCCTGGGACTCCTTATACAACCTATCTATACCACAGTACTGCCACCAGCAATTTGGGATTTAAAAAAAAAAAACCAAACAAAAAACCACACCCCACCCTGTTAGCTGTGCTACATAAAATAAGTTAAGTCTAAACTTTTTCATCATCGATGTAGCAATCAGCACTGCCATATAATTAATTTGGCTACAGTCACAATATTGGCTGAACAAGCACAAATACTACAGAGGAGCCCTGGGGAAAGAGAAACAACTATAGGGTGAAACAGTTGCAACACAGAGCAAATAAATAGCTTTCCATTTAAAAGCTACAAACTCTGGTTTTAAGAGTGATAACCAAAACTTAATCTGCTTTTGTATTTGCCATGAAAATGAGTCTTAACAGCCACACCATTTTCAAAATGTCCTACATTTCAATGAAGCGTCTGCCTCAAAGAATAAAGTCAAGGCTTATTTTCAGCAACTAGGCTTTTTTTGAACTTAAAATGCTATGCTTTAAGTCTTCCCAGAACAGCTCAGATGTCCATGCAACAGAGGCAAGCTAACAGTTCTTATCTGTCATGTCAAAAAAGTATTTCTTCTCAGAATGAAGCATTTTAATGTTCTGAGCATCCAAGTGTGAAAATTTATGTTTAGAAGTTGAATTTCAGCTTGTCACCAGTACTAACAAGCCAGAACAAATACAAGATACCCTTACCTTCTGTTCAAATGAAGCTCCGTAATAACCATCATTGAGACCAAAAATAATCTCATTTGGGTTTCTTGCGTGTATCTGTAAGAAGAGAAGAAAACAAATCATTTTATGGTCAGCTTACTATGACTTTACACTGCAAACAAGCATAAATTACTGTCTGATGGTCAAATGCAGTTTTTCAGCACCTGTAATTCTAGAAGCACATGAAACTTCAGAGAAAACTGAATTTAACCATAGAAAATGCATTTGCTTCACAGTTTTAGTAACAGTCGCTGAGTACATTCAGCCATTCTACCTTGAAATTAGAAACACTGGCCAGAGCATCTTTCCTATTGTTGCATTTCCAGCTGACAAAAATAACTAAGAAACCAAGAAACTAATCAATGAGGTAAGTCTCAAGAGTAATTAGCTTTCACGTGCTAATACCTAAAATGACACTCCAAAATTAGGCTTTTGTGGTCATAGTAGACACAAAATTACTGTTCAGTATTATAGCTAATAACCTGCTATTAATGTAAAGAACATTATTTCAAATAAAATCATGTAGTAGAGTATAATTATTTAGGAGCATATTTAGGGAGCCATTTCTTCTGTTCAGTAAAAAACAAATGGACAGAAAGCTACAATATGAAGGATACTGGCTTTGGTTGCGAAGGAGTTAATTTTCTTCGTAGCAGTCCATACGGTGCTGTGGTTTAGATATGCGACTAAAACCACGTTAGTAACGCAGCAGCGTTTTAGCAATTGCTGAACAGTGCTAGCACAGCATCAAGGCCTCCTCTGTTTCTCACTCTGCCCCCGCAGCGAGTAGGCTGGGGGTGTGCAAAAGCTTGGGAGGGGACACAGCCGGGACAGCTGACCTGAATCGACCGGAGGGCTATTCCGTACCATATGACGTTATGCTTAGCAGTGAAAAACAGGGGTCAGACTTTGCAGATATATGTTGCTCGGGGACTAGCTGGGCACCAGTCTGTTGCTAGGAGGTGGCGAGTGACTACTTCTGCATCACTTGCATGTTGTTCTCTTCTCCCGCTCCCCCCTTTCTTGATTTTTTTTTTTTTTTTTTTTTTGTTTTCAGTTATTAAACTGTCTTTATCACAACACACAAGTTTTTCCTCACTTTTGCTCCTCCGACTCTCTCCCAGCCCACCAGTGCAGGGGGTGCTGGCCAGGATCAACACACCATGTGAAGCTAGAGCAGTCATTCCCTAAAAAGCTTTCTTCCGAGATTTTAAAACATCCCAATTTAAAACTAAATGTATTTTTGTCTTTTTTTAAAAGTGAGAAATAAACTATGATCTATCCTAAATAGATCCTATCAATTAACCCATCAAAAAGTGCCCATTGGAATTAGGACAACCTATCTGATTCAAAAGGCACCATATTTTTTGGTGTTTTTATTATTTATGTGATACAGGTTTCTTTTTGAGCCACTTTTACTATAAGCTCCACAATACAGAAAACACCTCACTTTTCACCTCTTTCAAAAGGCTACTAGTAAGAGACAAATACCAGAATTAAAACAGATCTTATACAGCAAGCTCCTTGGACTGAAGATCTTTGATGGGACATCATTACCATGAGAATGGATTAGAAGTGTAAGATACACAAACATTACAATCTATGTTCATTTAACTACATGTACAATCAGACTGCTGTTTCCTTGAAGCAAGGCATTGCAGTTTAAAGCACCAAGAGCTAGCAGTATCATTTAAGAGGCTCAGTGAACCATAGTAGCTTAAAAAATTCAGCTAGTCAAGATTTAAAGTTCTGAAGTAAGCTAACATGAATCTCTGCAATCAAACTTTAAAATACACCTTTCAAATCCATTCATCTCCTTTCTTAGCATTCTAGATATTTGTTCATCTTGATATTTTGTTTCCTTAAGTAAAAAGTTGAGGAAACACTGTTTTCACATTACCTGCTGGCCCAAGTACTTCAACCCGTCTAGATTGACCTTCCATTCAATCAAAAGCTGAAAGTGCTCCTTCTTGCCACCCCAGATCCTCACAACAAAACAAGAGACAGAGGTATCAAGGCGATCAGGCATTATTCCAAAGTCCAGACTCCTCCATGTCGGATTCTGTAGGTATTCAAAGAGGGATAAAAAGAACTCAAACAAGCTGAAAGTAGTCCTAAAATTGACAATTCAGAAAGTAGCAAAGTCCATGTCGATGATTAAAAAAAAAAATATAAGACTAATGAACACCAGCCATTTCACAGTTTACACGGAGTTGAAGCCTACAGGCTCTGCTGCTTCCTTACTCTGTTTTCTAGAGAGAATTCCTGGGTTAAAAGCTACATGCTGTAGAGTGCCTCAGAAACTCAGAGTGGGCTCTGCTTCCTTCCATTACAAGATGTTGAAGAATTTACTTCAGAATTTACTAATTCAGTTTAGCCAAATCAGGAACCTTAAAAGTGGAAGTAACATTCCTTTCCAAGTTATAATTCAGCTTCTGAAAACTAGAGTATAGCTTATGTTGCAAAAGCCAAATTTAAAATGTTGATCTATTCCCCAATAATTAATTTTGCATAATTTATTGACAGGTTTGTTCACATTCTCCTCTTCCTTGACTGATGCTGATGGCAATCCTCAAATGTTGTCACTAAGAGCTCCTCTTCAAGAGATCAGACTTGCCCCTCAAGCTTTACAGAAGCAGCATACATTAAGCTAAACTGCAAACATCTGTTCCACTAGAACTCAGATTGGTAAACACAAGGCATTCCAAGAACTTGCACTCACCTCTGATAACATTTAAATTAAAGATTTATGGAAACTGTTGCAATTGGCCCAAGGTGCAACCAAACCAAGTCAATCCAACACTACTGGTGCCAACAGCCAGATACCGACTTCAGGACTTCCACAGGCCACAAGTCACAGGCTGTCCGAATGCAGAAGTGGGAAAGTACTTTTTATATGTATCTCCCTCCTCTGCTGTGCACAGAAATGGTAGCTCCTCCAAAAGAAAAAGGTAGGAACGCACCATCCCACGAAAGAACAAGCCTTTCCTTCTAGTGCTTAAGCAGCTTGGGACAGGCCAAGCATCTCTGAACTGGAATTAGGCAATTTAGAATGAGATGCCTCTGAAAAGAAGGGAGGGGCAAAGTTACCCAAGTAAGTATTACAGAAGGAATGCATTAATCAAGTTTTCCTAAGGAGAAGGGATATTTGGTAGCTATTCAGGCACGAGAATAACAGGCCATTAAAATACCCATACATGATGTGCGGAATTTGCTCAAGACATCTTTCATTTGGATTTTTGTCATTCCATCTCATATTTCCTTTGGTTAGATTCCCTTTTTTGTTATTCCTTTTCCTGATTTAGAATAGGCAGAACTCAAAATCCTGAAGTCTCCAGGAACTTGTCTCTTAGACAAGCCGACAGCCTTGTGGATGTAGACAGCTTTTCCTCCATTCAGGAGGTTTTCAAAGCATTTGCAGCCCAGTGTGCTATAAATGGTGCAGTTCTACCTTTGTTAATGCAGACATTAAAAAGTCTGTTTAGCAGGTTTTCAAACTCCCTTACCCAACACTTGCAACATCCTACTCCCAAAGAGACCTACCCCTTCTTGGTTGTAATAAACTGTTCAGTTCTGGTCCCTTCACTGATCTGAACTGGAAAATTTAGAAACTCTTAAGATGTTTTCAAAGTTCAGTTTCTTAAAGCTATTAGCTCTTCAAAGAATATACGTGTTTATATATGCAGGCACATGTTCCTTACTGTGCACCTATACGACAAAAAGATGTTCAAAGAAATCAGTGGCATATTCTGCAACACCGTTTGACTCTCCCTTTATTTGAGGTGTTGCAAGCAGGGCGTCTGCTTCTACGCAGAGGTTGCCAAACTGCACAACATGAGCTTCTAACGAGTCTGTGCACCCAGCAAAGTAATATACAAGTACTCCTTGAACAAGGAACTCGCAGACATTTAAATAAAAGCAGCTATTTCTATTGCTAACACCAGCAAGAACAGGAAAAAAAAAAAAAAAGAAAAAAAAACATTAACTGTAAACAAGCCTGAGTTACAATGCCTACAATTCTCAGATACTGAAAGAAGTTAAACCAGTAAAAATCCAGCTAACATTACTTTGCCTGTTTGGTGTTCTTAATTTTTCAAATGGATATATATTGTAAAGCTTAACCTGAGCGCTGAACAGTTTTCACATGAAAATGCCCCATCTGCAGAAGCACCAACAGGTTACAGCCCCCCAGCTGTTAAAATGAACTTGCTTTTCTACTATTCAGTAACTTGCTATTCCAACCCTTGTGAAAAGAACCTAAAAAGGAGGAGAAGAACACGATGCTCCTAACAGAACTAAGAGTGGAAATCCACATTTAACAGTTATGGTATGCAGGAGAGAAATCAATATAGTGCAGTAATAATAAAATTTTAAAAAGAAAGTTTTTACATATTAAAATAACTTACCAGAGAATTCTTGATCACCTCACTCTTATAAAATTCTAAAGAAAAATGAGTAAAAACACACCTTTAGATTAGCTTAAACACTGACACAAACCTTAGTATTTTAAATACAAAAAGCTAAAAGTAACACTTACGAAAGACAAATGCTAGTGGGTCTAGTTTATCAGTAACAGATTCATGAGAAACACTTTAAAATGCATTCATGCTTTTGACTAAAAGTACTCATTCACACTTAATTATTAGAAATCACTATTTAAATTTAGCATTTCATCTTTATACCCAAGATAATCCTCGTGATTTACTGAGGCTTTGGCTTCTGGGGAAAGAACGTGCCCCAGTACTTTACAATATTTGGATGACACTTGCAAAGTGACTAGTTTGTCATATGACATCTTCCTGGAGGAGTGCAGCACGGATAAACTAATTGCACTGCTTTCCTGAAGAGCAAGGGTGACCTGTTCCAGATGCTTAGAAAGTGAACAGCCAAATTACCTCAAGGAGGTGCCAAGAGCCCTCTATTTAGTTGGAAATAAGCAACTGCTGACACATGGACCTTGGCTTTCCCAGCCAAAACAAGAGCTTAAAATCTTTAGGTAGACAGCTCTGGAGGCTGGAATACAGATTTTGTACAATATCCTTCAGTCCACTGGAGTCCAAGGATAAAGCTTTGACAGAGAACAGTCCCGTACACCAAACACTGCAGAAACAGTCATCAGTTACAGGTTCAACCAACCACCACAAGTTAGCAAGCTCAAGTTATGTACTCTTATCCTTCCAAAACAGCAACCTTGGGAAAAAAAAAAAACAACAATATTCAACTACACTAAGCTGAAAATAAAAGTCAGGAGGAAAAACCAAAATTCTTTTGCAGAGGTCCAACTGTTGATCATATCAAAAGGAGCATAAAAATGTATTTTTAATAACATGTCTCCACAATGAAGAGCTATACATTGTGGTGGAAAGCAAAGCATTAAAGAGAAATGAGATCTAACACTCAAACACAGTTATCAAAAGCAGAGCAGATGCCCGGATGCTTCTTGGCATCAGCTGACAACTCTATTTTTGGAAAACCTTGATAGTAGTAAGTGCTGGTTTATGCTCTGTAAAATAACTGCTATGCACGGACTGGAACGCTTCCCCCCATGCAAAGCACCCAAGGCTCCAAAGGTTTTTCTGTGCTCTTGGAAGTTCCCAAGTTTCATAAGTTATCAGTGGGGGGAGAGAAAAGCAACAACAAAAAGAGGCTGATTGAAGAGACTACAAGATCTGTCATCTGGTTTGCTTCCTTGCTGAAAAGCTTTTATGAAGTTCAGGAAACTGAAGAGCTCTTTTTCCACTGTTAGCATATATGATGCAAATAATGGCAGCAGGTTGTGAAGGCAAAAAAAGGACAGAGAATTCTTATCATAAGAATTCAAAGATTAACTAGTAAACAAAGCTGATAGCAAGCTTGGTTTACCTTTGTATATCTTGGCGTTATCACACAAGTGAAGAGTGAAGTACGTATCCAAGAGGCGATAACCATTCTTATTGATAATGTTACGTGCAGCGATGTTCCGAAGATGACGAAGCCGGCGCTAAAAATAAGAAAAAAAAAACTAAATAGTTAAAGAACTTTCTTACATTGAAATTGAACCCTTTCATTTTTTTTGTGTTAAAGCATTTTAATGATTTCCAAAGCACTGTTGTCAAAAAAGAAATCCCACCAAACACTCAGGTTTTTTTGGCAGAAAGCTAGCGTGAACAAAAAGCATTCAGCAAAGCCATAGGAAATCGACTGGACAAGCAACAACTAGCACCTACGAGCTCAGATTAAGCAACTCAAGACAAGCTATTCTTACTCATGTCCTATACATAATTTTTATTCCACGTGTCTAAATCACCCCAACTATTCAAGCAGTTTCAGGCAAATATGTGACACTGTTAGCATTAAACAGCAGCAATATCACCCAGGTGTTCTGCATCATGACACTAGAAATGCTTCCCAGCCAAAGCTATTTTCACCAAGCACTAGCGGACAAAGAGCTCCAACATAAACCACCATCTAATCCAGAGCCATAAGTAACTGGCTGAACAAGGCTTCCTGAAGTCACAGTAATCCTGGGAACTGCTGTAACAACCTTAAATAAAAGTTAAATACATCAAAAAGACATATCCAGATTTTCAGGAAAAATTAAAGGCACAGTCAAATTTGTGATGTCTGTCAGCTGCCTTCTGCTTGGATAAGAGTCCTCTTCTCTTGGATTGAATACACTGGAATATGTCACTAAAATCTTTAATTTAACTGATTTTACCCAACTCCAACACTACGTTAGTTTGCTACAATACTGTATCTCAAACAAAAATCATCAGATTGAATCAATTTCCCCTGCCCCCAAGTGCCAAATAGCTTTAATAGTTGTGGCTAAAATCCTCAGCTTCAAAGGGTACAACGCCCTTCGTCCTTGACAAATATTTAACATTACTATCTTATTGTTAAATTTAACTAGTTAACAAAGCAATTTTGTAGGACTGTCCAGTCACTCTTAAATCATTGCTTCACTGTGGTTCTTATTTTAACTTTGAAAATCCCCGCATGCTTAAAACAGCCTACCATGAAGTTAGCACTCGGCAAACTGCCACGTCAAATACATAAAGTTCTCACCAAATCCTTCAGTATCATATTCTCCTAATCAATCTCTCAGCCTACCAGTGTCTCACCCATCTACCATGAGGGCGTTGACAAACAGCTCCCTATCCTTTTTGGATGACCACAAACCACCTACAAGCCTCAAACAACTGGTTTAGTGCCTTCTTTTACCACAGATTTTGTTTTACAGCATACTTCTTTTTCCCCAAAAGCTTGTTAATTTGTAAGTCTGGATCCACCTTAAAAGAAACATGCTCATGTTCACCAAAAGCAGATTTAAAATGTTTTTGAAACCAAAAGACAACTTTTCCATTTGCAGCTTGTCCTAAAAGGCTTTTAAAGAGTTGAAAGGCCATCATCTGTTTTGGAATCACAGTATGACACTTCATATCACTTAATATCACTTAAGTGATACATATTTCCAGGAAGGAAAACTAATGTAAGAATAACATTAAATTTCTGTTCAGGTGACAGACTCAAAACCACCAGTGGAGTCATTCCTGCAAAGTCTATTCATGAGTTAGAATAAAAACAGAGCCTGAGATGGGATGCTCAGATACCCCTAGCATATACATGCAATACAAAATAAAAAAAAAAAGAAAATAACAACCTTTTAAGATGCTTCATTGCAGAACCACATGGTCTTATTTTGTTAGGAAATGGTATCAAAAATGTCAACAGAAAGATTAAGCCTCACTTAGGAAAAAAAACTACATGGACCTTGTACATTATTTCAAATCTAACCTTAAAGCTGTGTAGTTTTGCTGGCCATTTTATGAGCAACTTAAACACCCTTTAAGAAATGGCTTTGAACATACATTGCACTTCCTATAAAAATGATTTAAGGGGTTTATGTGCCATCTCTCTCCCTTAATTAACTTCAGTAGTATACAAATCAATCATCTACCATGCTCATTTCCCCCTTCTTTTTTGATTTTTTTTTAAATCCCTTACTACCCAGGAAGAGTAGCCCACATAGCATCTAACAAAGGCGGCAACTTTCTCCAGGTCATTTCAGTATTGCAAACTAATTGTGTAACTGGTTTAAGTAGTATGTTACAACGAAGTAGCCCTCAAGCAAAGCCAAACAAGTTTCTCTTCTTTCACTATATGCAATAAGGTCTGGAAAAAGCTGTAGAGCATCATAACGTACAGCTGCATCTCTGGACAAGAGCAGAGTCCTTATCTCCATGGTTCGTGACTTCTTTGTACCCTTCCAAGTCTGGAATTTATCCCTAAGTCTAAAGTCTCACTTCTCCGAAACCAGTTGGAAAAGGAACATTAAATCTGGGGCTGTGAGACCACAACACAGTTCAGGACTCAACATGCAACAGGTAATGAACGTCTACTTAAATCACCAACTTAGTCATCGCTCTCCTCCTCCCTCCTATCCCACTGCTTGTCCATTTAGCCTAGCTGATAAGGAACAAGTTTCCAATTACACGGACAGTTTTCTTGTTCACAGTCTTTAGTATGAGGTCATGACGACAGAGGGACTTGGATCCTGAAAATAAACCGTCCAGTTTGCCCACTACATTGCCACTGATATTATATTGCATTTTCAGATTTCCTCACAACTCTACAGAGGCAGCAGTTAATTAACCTCTCCTGACCAAAGATAATCAGCTTTGGCCAGGAGATCATCAGCTATAAAGACATATCCAGAAGAAAATTCAATAAGGCTCTAAAATTCTTCATCAAGGGCTCGCAGCTGGTCTGTGACAAACAGTAAGTATTATTTTTAGGGAATTTTCAAATCTCTAGTAAGTGTTACCTCCTACGTGTTTCATATCATTTTTGCTCGAGGTGTTAGAATACGCAAAACAAAAAACCTCCTGTGTTGTAGTTCAGCTAGCGCCAGCATCAGCCAAATCACCCTGCCGCCAACCCCGGCTGCTTTTTTGCACTGCTGCATCGCCCTCCTCATTCGTACCACCATAAATACCCACTTGTGCAGCTGCTCGGTGAATCACACTGGGGAACCCATCTGGGTCAAAGCTAACCACCTCTCTCTTTTGCTGGGTTAGTTTCACCAGATCAGTTCCTCAATGTGGTTCATAACGGGGCCGTACAAGCAGGGACAGTCCAGCAAACAAGCAGCCAAAGGCAGACAGGACCGCTGAAATGAAACCGCCAGCTTTAAAAATACGTGGGGAGCTACTTACAGCCCCGCACTTCTACAAGCAAAGCGGAAAGCGGTTCACCAGGAGGTATCAGTGCATTACAAACTGCAAAAGCAACTCTTTATGGAGAAGTGACCTATTACGCTTTACACTGCATACAGTAGCTGCAAATAATCCTGAGTTCTTTCATTTCCTTTTTCTTTTAGGTGAAGTGGGAAAAAGTAGTCACTTCTCATCAGAGAGAAGCTTTAGCTATTTGCTCTTTCTATAAAAGTATCAAGAAATCTCCACCACAAGGAGGGATCCCCACAGATGAGATGCTGTGCATCTCATTCCAATGTGCAGCCATTCCAAAAAGCCCAGTTTAAAAAACGAAATACAAGTGCTAAAAAAGCATGATAAAGTGCTTTGGCAGCCTCATGAGTCACAGAACTTAAAGCAAGCCAGCTGTGTTTGCAAGCTGATAGCGCAGGATCTGCTTTCATAAAAAAAGATAAGCAAAATATGCAGATGAGTGTACATAATTCTCACCGCTATCTCCTCAAACAGTTGACAGTCTATCAGCAACACAGTATTGAAGATCTCCAACACTACACCAGGCACCTTAATAAGATATCCTACTGCAAAAAAAGTTATTTTTCAGCACAGCACTGATTCAGGTAAGCTCTGACAAGCAGAACTGATACCATTAAAAATGGTATTTAACTTTTCCAACAGCTCTAAACTTCGCACACACAGCCTGAACGATGGTGTAGCTGGATCATCACTTAGCAAAGTAGTAGAGCAGGTTTAACAGCTCATTCTAGGGAGTTTGTGACACACAAGTTATTTTGATTACCGCAATAGTCCTAGTCCTTTGCGCTTCCCAAGAAAGTGAATGGAGCAGTGAAATTACACAGTAGGCCTTGTTATCACTCGATTTAGTTGCCAATCTAAGTTGCAACTGAGCAAAAGCAACTGCTACACAGCAGCTCCGTGCTGAGCGACATGAAAGAAATCAGTGCTTCCTTCTACCCTGAAAATAGGTGAGAAGAGATCCACTGATTTTCCTTTAGAAGAAATCCTGAGCTGTAGCTTGTATTTTAGAAACGCTGCTGGAGGTAAAGATATCACAAGTTATAAATGTACTAAAGGCTGATCAGGAAAGCTTTAGAAGAGGTCAGAAGAGCAGCTCCTACCATCAGGTTTCACCCCTCGTGCCTGCAGAGCCACAAAACTGGCTTCCCGGAATTCAACAGCGGGATCTTGACAGAGCTGCTATGGAGTGCAGCGATCCCATCCATGCTCAGCAATGAGCAGCTTCTCTCAAAAGTCAGGGGTTTTTTTCTTGTTTAAGAAAAGCACTCAGTTTTCATCATTCTGAAGAACTATTATCAGTTGTTTAATGTATCTAGTTTGCCCATTCAACGACTTTCTGGGAACCTCTCCAGTTTTACTGCAGGCCATAAACAAGTCAGGCTGCTACAGCATAAAGTATTTTGATCAACATTCTTGTTAATACTCTGCTTTTTCATCAGATGAGCCCAGAACCCTTCAGTCTACCAAGTCTTCCGAGGTTTAAAGGACTGAAACTGCCCAGTCCCTTCATGCTTTAGTTCCCTCAACACTTAAGATACCATAATCTTTCACCACCTCTGCCTAAAACACCACCTTCTGCATCTAGACACTTGTTCCCATCTCACACAATGTTCCCTTGTGCATTTGTGCAGTCTCATGGAGAGGGTCAGAGAATTTATTCAAGCTACAACTGGCAAAAAAAAAAGTTAAAATTAACTTAAAAAATTAAGTATAAGTTCCTCCAATTCAGCTTACTACAGCTACACAG